AATCCTTAGAGCTAACCATTAAACATGTGGTTTACGTTTCATTTGCCGCTAATGTGTGCGTATTTTGTAAAGTTATCTTTAATCTTCAAAACCTTAAATGCAATTGAAATATTTAACCTTATAAAATTATTAAAAAACAAACATATTACCTGGTCTTCTGAAAACAGTCATTGATGTCGAATATCTCTTGATACCTTTCAAAAGAAAATTAATCATGAATAAATCATAATGAAGATTTTAGTAGAGACCTTTTTACTTAGAAGGCATAAAGAATTCACAGACAAAATTGTAAAGATTTGGAAGTTAACACATCTATAAAAAATTGACTGGAGCATCTGCTCTGGTTTAAAAGTAGTTATTCTTAGTGAACGTTTTATAATCATACTGAAATAAATTGTTTTAAAATTATAGAACGTAGTGGATCAAAACCAGGAAAAATATTCTGAAATATGTATTTCCAAATATGACAATATGCCTGCCCACTTACAACACCTTACACAGTTGGCACTGATCATCAAGCAGTCTTGCAAAGATATAAATAGGTGAGTATCAAAGTAATTAATGGGACAATATCAGAGGCTTTAACAGGAGAAGAATACATATATAATTATATATATATATATATATATTAGGGATGCACGATATAATCGGCCCCCTATCGGTATCAGCCTGTATCTGCCTTAAAACATAAAACTGAATATCGGACATCGGCCACCCCACCGATATTTAACCCGATATTTGATTAGCTTCTGAGTTTCTAAAGTCTAAAAAAAAAAAAAAATCCTACTTCTTCTTCTTCCTCAAAAACTTTTTTTTTTACAGACTTAAAAACTTCTAAAGACGAGGGAAAAAATATTGATACATAAAAATATCACAATATCTTCATATGCTGATATATTGCCATGTAAAAGCACCATATCAATCTCTTTTACTAATGAAATATTGCTATATGTCATTGCTATGCTACGAAATCCCCCAAAAATTCACGAAATTTTGCCATATTTTTATATGTTGATATATTGACGTGGTATCGATCTATTTTACTAACAAAATCTCACAAGAATTTGCCAAATATCACAAGAGTTTGTAACAGAATGATGAAATTTCACGAGAATTTGAAAGTAAAATAGATCTTCACCGCGTTTTCAAAAATCAATTTGATATCAGCATATGAAAATATATTTGAGTATATTATTTTTCAAAGTGTCAGAAATGGATAATATAACTGCTATTTTCAATGACTACTTATTTTTGTCCAGCTTTAACATCGGTATCGATATCGGTTATCGGCTACATGAGTTTTAAAATATC